AGATAAAATGTAATTGATGCAATTTTATAGTGTTTTCGGTCTGAATACGTCAAGGATTCATAACAAAAGATTATGAATGTGTTTAAAAAAAACAAAAAAACTATGAATAGATAAAAAGATATGTTTTTTCTTATAAGAAATGCATACATTATTTATAAACTGTTCCTACTAATGCGTATATATAGTGTAATAACAATAGATCTACTTTGGACAACACTCGGAATTCTACACCAAAGAAATCTATTCACCCTGCTAAAATATGTATAATAGATTCCATTAATAAAATCTGTAACCAAAATAAAATTCAGACACTCTTAGAATTAATATCTAATTTGAAATAAGAAAATATACACATTCATTATACTTCATTTTATTCTATTCCTAATTAGAAATATTTGAGAGAATTAATAGAAGAGTATAATTAAGTAAACTCTGTCAAATTTTTGTATATGAAAATTATTAATAATATAAAATTATTAGTAAATAAATCAAATTTCTTAAATCTCATTATAAAATACAAAACGAAGACTATCATAAATTGGCATCTTTTACGAATCCTTCACATACTGATGATAGAAAACTGTATATAAACGTTGGCAATATCAATCTTAATTTAAAAGTTTCCTATTTTTCTAAAATGCAAAGACGAGAACGTCCCTTGATAGATGGAAAAGAAGCATCTGAAAGTTCATAATTAAAGCTCCACCCGACCAATGTTTATAAAGTATTCCTATATTGATTTATGAAAGCCATTTACAACACTTCAATTTTTGATAGTTTATATTTTTTATATCCAGAGAAATGTGTTTTAACCACCGTTAAATATAACAAGAAGGAAGAAGGTTTTATTCTTAAAATAAAAAATTTAAATTTATACAGCTGCAATCAATGATTATAATGATTATAATTACAAAAGAAACAATCATTCTCTACACAAGTTACAGACATTTGAAAATACTTTATCTAAAGAAGAATTAAACTTATGTTAATATAAAATATGCAATAAATATAGTATAAATTGCTGGGAAACGAATATTCAGATAAGCTTAACTTGCTTAACTTGAGCAACTTAAAGATCTGTCTATCTAATTTTATTGATCAAAAAATTACTTTTAAATTAAGAAAAAATGCTTTTTACTTTTATACAAATTACTTGAGTCATTATTTGTTATTGAATTTCGAAACTGTCGTTCTAAAAATATTCTTGAAAGTTACGTAGAAAACAATAAGTCTTTAATTAACTTATACGTTTATATTTTTTACTTTTATTATTATTGCCTGTAAATCTATGTGACGTCAGCTCATTAATTCGTTATAAGTTTCTTGATAAATTTAAAATAAATTATCTTCATGCCGTCGTATTCAATGATATCCGATCTAAATAGCAAGATAATCAGTCAAATTCATGCAACGAGACATCAATGCCATATACTAATGAGCTATCAAGTAAAATATTCTTTATACTAAAAAAATTGCCAAAAATAACAATACAGAAATTCCGTTGAAAACGTTAAGTTTCTCATCCATTATCGTGTTAACATTGTACATTTGTGCTTAGTCAAATAATCAATCTGCTTAACAACAATACATTTGTTATTTAGCTGAACGTTAACACGAAAGAAAACATCGAAGCAACAGTGGGAAATTAAATCTAACTCTTAAAAACAAATAAAACGATTGCGAAATAAGAATGTTTTGTTTTTTTAATTCGAATCAAAACATGGAAATAAACTACTTTTTGTCATTTACTAGGTAAAATTCTTCATTTCATTGACCATAATTTTCTCTTTTTAGAAGAAAGATAGATATAAACAATATAAATACATTCGAATGATATTGATAAATTCAAAAATTGCAAAATAAATCTAAATTTTAAATCTGTAATTTTTTTTCCTTCTGTTTGGCTGCAGAGAAGATGATGTGAAAGATGAGTAAGAAAGTTCGGGAGTTAACATAAATAGACATAAGTTATACTAAGATAAATGACATCAATGCTCAAGTTACAAATTAATCTTAAGCCAAAATTAAAATGTCATATTCTAATTCATTCGTAATAGTAAATTTTTCTTTACATATTTTTATTTTATATATTTAAACTTTTTAACTTTTTCATTCGATATTTATTTGTTTAGTTATTCTCCATACATATTCTCATATTTCCATAATTCCATCTAATAAGATCAAAATCATAACTAAATGGTTTTTATTTATTTTAAGCTGGTTAATAAATAATTAACAGGATCTACGCTGATATTAAATTTACGCTCCACTAAAAAAATTTCGAAATAAGAGATGTTTGCAATGTTTCAATAATTTCTAATATTCTCATACTTTCATATGTTTTTCAATTGATAAGTTTGTATTTAATAATAAATGGTTCTTTCCTTTATTTTCCTATTTAATAAGAATTGTTTGAATATCATCATTTAAAATTTTTATTCTTGCGACTTATTTAGCATTATTATATATAATTTAATTAAATATATATAAGTTATACTATTATAATTGAATAATTAAACAATTATACGACACTTTCTACATTAGAAAATTTTCTCCGAATCTTATCTTGACCGGATACATAGTAACATATTTGTTCATCGCACAGAGTACACAAACGTAATTAAGTCTACATTTAAAAGGACCTCCGTTGCAAACAAATCTATTAGGTCGAGGAAGAATAATTGTCTTCTTCGACTACTATTTTTTTTATTAAAAGCATCAAATTCAAATAAAAATTGACTTATTTATCTCTTGATAATATTTATTCATAATCCTAGACTTTCCAAAATATAAAAAAATAATAAATTGAATTATTAAAGTTATATATTTTCACAAAAAACGACTGATCTACTAAAAATACATAGAAATATTCTAATACAAAAACGTTGGCAGATTTTATTACGTTGGGATATGAAAGACATATTTTTTTGTTATCCTCAAATTCAAATACATTAAAATAAATAAATATATAAAAGAATATTCCTATTTCCAATAATATAAGTTATACAGTACGTGCTTGGTAAGACACATCGCTAACCAAACCCCAAAATAGTTCAATTAATGTCTACGCAGTCTGACTGAAAGATGTTTCTAACTCAATGTATATCTGTTTCCAGTTTAATAAAAATCTCAAAAATAAAGATAAAAAAATTAAAATTATAAATTCAATATTCTAGAAAAGTTTTTTGTGAGAATAATATATATGAGTTTAGTGGTGTTATTGCGTAAGATATCTCTTCCGGAAAATAAGATACGTGCATTTGGATTCCATGTTTTCTAAAAAATTTTATCGACCTACCTTGACAGTGTCAGGAAAAACATTGACTAATATAGTCAGAGAACATTTTCTAGAAGTAAATTATTTATCAATACTGAATACAAAAAGTGTTTAAATTATAAAAGTTAATAAACTAAATGCTAAATTTTTTCAATGTAATTTTTAATATAGAAGAGGATAGCTTCTATTTATAACGTTATAAGGATCAAGACTAAAATAAACTTCATAAATATTTTTATATAAGCCACACACACAAATATATCTATAGTTTATATATTAAATAGAAGTATGAGTAGATAAATAGACATATAATACAGATGTATGTATGTAATACTGCATATTATCTCATTACTTATTCATTTACAATAGAAATTAGATTAAACATATATTAAATATACACGAAACCTGAATATAGTAATTATTAATTATTATAAAATTGTTATTAAACTGAATTCGTTTATTATATAAAACTATGTTATAAGAACAGTAAATATAGAAGAAACGAATAATTGTTAGAGGAATTTGTATACATATATATGTTTTTTTTTTTTGTTATTATTTTCTTTCTCTTTTCTTGAGAATTATAGGTAGCATTACATTTTTCTTTCATGAAAAGGTTTATCTAAACAACTCTAGATTTGATTTACTGTTACTGTCATCTTTTCTTGTGTCATTAAACAGAGTAAAAAAAACCCTTTTTTATTTAAAGAGCATTGGAAGAGACATGTGTATTGCAGATAAAGAAGAAAAGACTTCATAATAGTCACTTTTTATCTGATGGAAAAGATAAATTAGTTATGATTTATTTAATCTTATATAACCCGGTGGGTATATTATTAGTGAGAAATAATGCATCCATCGTACAGTTAGTTAGGCATTTGTTCCTCTCGTATAAAGTGCTTCAATTTAAACGAGAAACTACAGAAAAGAAGACAATAGTGATCTAGAATAAATTGACTGGAAGTCGACAAACCTTTATAAAAAGAAAAAAAAATTGTTGACAACTCTCGGTAATAATAGCGATTGGGATAGTACAGAAGGAAATAGAAAAAGCTTCTAAAGATTTATAATGAACCTTATAAATTTTCTTTTTATATATATATATATTTTTTAAAAATTCCATTTAAATGCAAAACTTCTTGAAATCAATTAAGTAAACAATATGTAAATAAAATAATTATATATAAATTTTAAAAATGTAACTTTTGCAAATGCTCATTAACATTATAAATGGGTAATTAAATGCATAATTAAGAATAGTGTAATTAAGATATGATAATTTAAGAAAGAAAAATTATTTTTATAAAGCTAATTTAATTTCTATATGAAATAAATCATTTTAAAAATAATTTTAAAGTCGTACATTTATATAAAACAATACTGTAAAACTTTACTATTATTTGTGAAATTATTTTTCAATTAAAAATCTTTAAGTGGAGTTAACTTAATTTATAAAGTTAATCAAATTATTCAGCTTAGTTTCCTCTAAGAACAACACTTTGGAAGGTTCGTATGTTTAATTTTAAGAATTTTATTTCGATAAAATTTGTCGAACTTATTTTTATCGCGTATATATACAGGAGAGTAGTAAATAAAGCGCGGATGTATACAAACCGTGCTTTAACGAAGAGAATCGGAAGAAAGTTGCTTCCAAACGGAAAATGGCATTCAACAACGTGGACAATTATGTATTACAGTTACAGCAAGAGAAAAATAGCATTGAAAAAGAATTCCCCCATGCCAAAAGACTACTAGAAAAAGGTGAGCTTCCGTGACATCATCGTAATCGATGTAAACTTAGGATTAAGTAACATCATCTACCTTACGCGGTATTATATAAATCCGATAATCTAATTTATTAATGTCACGATACGTTGAATGAAAAGTATAAATGAGAAAGTTTGCAATTGAAAAATTCTGCCAGTGGAATTTTACACCTATGCTTTGCTATTAATTCCATTCGAGCGGCTACTTGAGAGACGTGATCAAAAAGACCGCTCTGAATACGAAAGTTGTAGACAGAACAACGGGTTATTGAACTACCTCTGGTTTTTTCTCTCGGGAAATGTGCCAACTAAACTAAATTGAGTAAATAGCTAGAGAGAAATTAACTTAAATATGCTAGAAAGATATTTCTCATTTCAGGACTTATTAGCAATCAAGATGATGAATGAGTCAGATAAATGTTGCACTCCCACATATGCTAGTTATTGTTTAGATACTTAATCCAAATACGCATTCCTCTATAATAACAATGGTAAATGGTACTTATATTTATATTTATGACTTTTATATTTTAAGCAATGGACGTTTTTCATATGTATCTTTAAAAATAGAATATAAATATATTTTTTTATCAATAAGGAAATCAAACAAAATTTTCAGTTTATTTACATAGAGTTTATTTAAATAACCTTAAAAAGATGGACTGTGATTTTTGCGAGTAGAGTGTGTCGATGCATTTGCAATTCCTCTTTAACCATATTGAATTATGGATTAGTAAAAGGGCTGAAATATTTCTTTCTTTGATCAAATCGTAGAAAACAGTGAAGAACTTTAGTAAAACCTACAGCTATTGATTTATCTCCTGATACTATAGGTTAAAGACAGATATGCTCTGCTGTTTAAGGCAGATAAGACACGACAAGCTATAAAAAAAAATACCTTTAAAGGAATTGTAAAGTTAATGTATCTCTATCGGATTTTTTGTTAAAGCTGAAAGTATAATGTAGATATTCACTAACGTCGTGTTATCTTTTTTCTGATACTAAATACGGCTATTTTAATTTTACATCTTTTTAAAAGGTTTTTCTGCTTATTTTATCAGATTTGGGTTACATTATTTAAAAACTAATAAAATAGAAATAGTCTCTAACAAAGAAAATTGTGGTCGGTTTTTATCTTATCTAAATAAAGAAAAATAATACGTAGATATAGCCAAAGTTTATATTCTAAGATATTCATAACGATCATCACTTATTTTTTTTTTAATATATTTTGTAATTGAAAATCTCTCAAACTGTTTTTCCCCTCCAATTTTTAAACAATATAAAGGAAAAATATGGAGGATATTTTGTAAATCGTCTCAGATGAAGTTAAAATATATTACGTACGTTGAAAACAATGAAAAAAATAAATTTTTACGAGAAAAGTAATCTTCTAATCAATTTGTATGTGTAAAGAGAGTGCAAATAAAGATAAAATCCTATCAATTTTGTTTATTCTTACAGTAAAATACGAAGGTGATAATTATAGATAAAAAAATGATGATAGATAAATATTTTTATACGCGTAAATCAGTTTTTTGGTGGGATTTTAATTTAAATTTAAGTAAACATAAAAATTAACTAATGTTGGTTATTTACGGGAAAAATATATTTATTCATGATAGTAAATTACAAGAACAATTTATGATAATGAAATTATCATAAATGTAACCACTTTAATTTTAAATTATCATAAACTTTTCTGGTCGTACAGCAAGTATCTTATTAGATACAACATATCAAAAACAACAAAAACCTAAGCAATTTTTATATAAAAAGAATTGCGGTCATTTTTATAGAAGTCTTTTGTAATAAGAGAAACTTCTAATTTAACAACTAGAAGGAAACTATTAGGGATAAGAGATTTTCATCATCTAAAATATCTTCGGAAACTTTCTGAAACTAAATGCTTCTTTTGTCAATTTAAACACATTAAATTTCTTTTACCATTAAAATTACGAAAATGATAGAAAACTTTTATTTCATTATTATTATTTTTTCTTTATCAAAAATTATTTTTTCCGCCTCATTATCTGCAATAACGAACAATTCATTTCCAACAAAAAAAAAAGTATCAAAATAAAATAACTTTACAATTAAAAAATGGAATACATTAAAATTACTCCTTTAATTTTAATTTAAGCTACGCTAAATTATTTTAATTTTAGAAAATAATTATTACTGTATAGTTTTAAATCTTGTTTATCGTTATCTTAATAATTTACTTTTAAGGTTTTTTTAAAAAAATAAAAATAAAATCATCTTCGCTAAGCTGATTAATATTGCAACGATTTTCGCTAGTAAAAATTTTCAATTAATTTCTACTTATATTATTTACAAAAATATATAAAATAAAATAAATTAATCTATATAATATTATTATATAAGTAATGAACTAAATACCACTA